AGTATGAAAAAAATTCAAAATATCGTAGAAACATAGAGCAAAAAGTATTCTATCTTTTGATACGAAAGACTTCCTGTTCAGCATCGAATTTAATATGCCTGATATTACATAAATTTTTGGATTTTCGAAATACATAGAAATCTACAGTAGAACGGTTCAGTTGATTTGAATCTTTATGATTTTGTCTTGATAAAAGAAATCTATTTGAAAAAAAGAAACCAAAAGTTTGATAGAGGAACAGTTTTTGATTGAATACATTCATAACAAATTATCAAAAATGATCTTGATAAGTGATGGAATAGGTTGTTGATTGAAATTAAAGGCTATTATTAATTTTTCACTATGACAATATGACATAGATTCAAGAGAATGTCTGCTTCGTATATTTGACGAGTTGTCCAAGAAGAATCAAACTTATGACCATGCTCAATAAATTCAGATGATAAACGATTCAGTTCAACATATAGATTTCTGATGACCATGGATGACAATGATCGCAACCTCTAAATTGCTAGAAAATTAACAATTTTTCTTCAGATTTCAATCTTGAATAGAAATCTTTCATCACTAGTTCACTATTTACATTAGTCCATAATAATCCTATTTTGAGTTTCGTTCCTAATTTTATTATTCGGTTGTATCGAAAGTCTTTTGCTTGTTGATATTCTCCAAAATTTTTCAATTAAATTCATCATTATTTGAATTTCGCCGGAGTTTAATTGAACTTTCAAACCCTGACTAGAGTTTCCACTAGGGGAGATATAGGAGATAATGTAGATAGTGAAGCTAATGCATTATGTGGAACAGCTAGACTAGGCGAGATGCCCTCAAAATGTGTGTAGATTGGAGTCTGAAGAGTCCGGGAGATCTTTACGGAATCCAATTGTCAACGCTTTTAGAAGAAGTTTGGTTATTATTTACAACTTGATGAGGGTGTGGGTGTGGGTATGGATACGGCTGTGCATGAAGAATAAATGATCCACACCCACGCCCACCCACACCCTAATCATGGGAACATATGTTGGCAGATATTTGTTCCAGCATTTTTTGTAAATCTTTTTATAGCGTATCTTCGGGAAGAAAAATACAATTTTTTATCATTTATCTGTGCTGAGATATATGCAAAATAAAAATATATGTGAATATTTTTGGACATTCAGCATTTCGCTTCTTTTCTGTACAATTTTTTAGAAAATTAAGCAACTCGTAGAATGGAATACAAGATCAAAAACTCGGTACAAATATCCAGGTTTCAATCAAGTTTTGAGAGGTATCTAAAATAATTCCAGTAATGAAAGATGAGACTACGTGACATGGAGCGACGTCAGTGATCGGTTAGCAGATATTATTTGGAGAAACTATGGTGTGGGTGTAGGTGTGGTCGCGGGTATCTTCTCTTCATTCACACCAACACCCATCTATGTAAGTTATGATGACTGAAAAACCGAGAACTGAATGTCGTGTGATAGCTAAATTATTTTTTGTTAATACTTTGAATTCCTTCAGTCTATGATCAAGTGAATCGGCATCGAATGAACGTTACTTGTCAAATAGACGATGAATAACAACATGTACCAAATTTTTCAAAAAAAAAATCAAAAACTAATTTCAACTTTTAATTGAAGGGACTATAGTACAATTGTTAATAATATATATATATATATATTCATTATAAAGAAAATTGTGTTTTCATTTGATCTAAAAAGATAAAATATGGTTCTTTGCCATGATCAACAGATGATGAATTCTCTTTTCCATCACATTGATTAACTTCAAGAATAAATTCAATATAGTCTTTAATATATGGATAATAATCTGATTGTACACGTATTTCTATTTCATTTTCTTGTCCTCTTAACTGATTACTATCTGTTGTCCAATTAAATAAACTTGCACCAGTACTTATCTCAAATGGATTCATTTCAATAACGATACAATCATATTCATTCGTTAATTTGTTTTCAATTAATCCTATATCGATTACATAATTCGAATATTTCTCAGGCAATGGATTTAAAAGTGGTTGAATTTTTTCTTGCCAATATTTAATAATTGTTATTTTTATTTGTTGAACAATGCCATTATTTTGTAGATGATAATATTTACAATAATAATCATATTGTGATATAGCAGTTAATTTCGATTGATAAACAAAACAACGAAATTCCATCGATGGATCTAATAAATTATTCCATTCACGAATGATTATATTGTTATTCCAATCATGTAGTTTAATATTATTGATATTAGCAACTTTATTATCTTTTACTTGTTGGCAATCGAGTACTTCTATTAAATCATAATAAACTCTTTCACTTGATAGAATCAGATTTAATGCTTGAATTTCATCAGTAACTTTTAAAGAATGAAATTGAGCATAACAATAAGCAATCATTTGCATATTTGCTGTGCCCTCAATTGATTTATATTCATCTGGATATTGGACTTGTAATTCGTTTAGTTTTTTATTATAGAATTGACTGATTTTTCGAGAATCTAAGCGTATTCCATCTTTTGGACTTCGTGAACTTAAACGAATAAAAGTACCATTACTTTGAAATTTATTTGTTTTTGAATTGAATATTTGTTCTTTTAGTTGATTTTGTATTGATGTTATAAGTTGTATGTCATTGATATTTAATAATTTTGTTGAACTATATCGTGTTTGATAAAAGTTAACAAACGCTTGAGCAATTGATGGAGAAATTGAAATAAATTCAGTGTAAAATGTTTCACTTTGTATGATCTTATACCAAGGTTCAACATCAAAATGAACGTTTTCACAACGTTTTAATAACTGATCGTCATACCGTCCTCTTGCAGTTTTAATTGTATTATTAGAATCAGTTTTAACATTGGACTCGGATTCACTGTTGAAACTATCGTCACGTATTGAACTTTCTTTCTGTCCCATTATTGTTCTTGTAAATATATCTACAACAAAGAAAAACTATGAAAAATTGTAATCGAGTCATATCAGAACTGTAATACATTGTTTTTGTATTTTTTATATGTTAAAATGAATCATAGTTATTTGCTCAACAAAGTCATATTTTCATTGTTATCGTCAAAAAAAATGATAAGATCTTTTATAAATTATATGGAGGCTTTAGCTGCACATAAACAACATTTGAGAGCGACAATATAAATGAAACGAATCTGTCAACAGAATGAAAAACGTTGCTAAAAATTGTGAGTCACCTTTTAAAAAGCAGTAGGTATGTCAGAAATATCAATTAATTCTCATAACTATTCAATAAAAAGATGGTGATATACATCTCATGACAATTTCTCTGTGGGACACTGTATGACGTAAATGGATTACAAAGTAATTCATTTTCATCGAATGTTTATGAAGATTCTGGGTAGGGTTTAGTAGAGTCTACACATCGACACCCACACTCACACCCAGTGTAAACATTTGTAAGCTGCCTATAGTAAAAGTACAAATATTAAAAACAAAATTTGTCCTTGAAATTGTTCTAGGCCGTCATTACATAGTAAGTAGATGATTGACAATAATAGTAGTCATGTTTCAAACTATGGCACGAGTCTATTAAATGTTTATATCGCAGAAGCAATTCCAGATTGCTTTTGCGACACTTTTTTCTTCTATAAAGATTACTGTTTTGGAGAAAAATTAAGTGCTTAAGAAAGCAGTGGGGCAATATCAAATTTCTATTTATCGAAAGATCACGTCGTGCGCTTCTTCACTTTCGGCAAATGCGAAAAACATTACCTATGCATTAGATATAAAGACGGGCATCGCCGCTATTCTGTCTCATTTTAACGCAAACGATGGTTTCCACAGTAATTCGTTGTTTCGTATTCGTTCTATTCAGGTAATTCTAAAATCTATTTTTTTCCTTTTCATCTAATGTTGAACAAATTTCCTTTTAAGCCTTACAGGTTTGATTCTTGTTTCGTTTCGCATATTCTGCTATTAATTTAGTATGTCGCTAGTTCGAGTGAAATCTCAATTCTGCCATCGAATATCTCAATATGATCGATGTTCGCCAAATAGTGCATGCGTCTGTTACTATATAGCAGGTGCTATTGACATTGGTATTTGTGCCGATGAATTCGTAGATTGTTCTGAGCTCGTTCCATGTGAACAGCCAAACAATCTTTGCCATGAACTTAACCATAGATGTGTGCATCATCCTCGATGTCGCAATCTTCCTGTTTGTTATTCAGTTCCAAGTTTCAATCGACAACTCTGTCCACCGATAGCAAGTAAGAAAACAAACAATGATCTAGAGATTCAAGTGAAAGTTGAATCTTTCTTAAAATTATTTCTTCGTCATTCATACATCCTCACATATGTAGTTAACATTGATACAGGAGCAGTGGGAAGAGCCGAAGAGCCTTTTAAGAAAAAGTAGATAGAGTGTGGCAAAGACAAAATGAATTGTAATTATTGAAGAAAAGGTTTCTTCTCTTCTCATAGACTGTATCTAACAATTTGAAATGCAGAGCCTGTTGCATTTATATCTATCAATACATGGAGACTCAGTGAACTTTTGAATGTACATGAGTGACCGAAACAAATTGAATAACTGATCATTCGATTCGATTCTATTGTGCCACGCCGTTCTTTATTCACAGTTTCCATTGTATGATTGACTGATTCTTATGAGTATTGAGTTTACTTCGTAGCTTTTTTTTTTCAAAACCACTACGACTGATATCTAGCTCGAAAGAAAATGCATTTATTATTCTTTCTGTCATGTTTCTAATGACCAAACTTGCGAAATTGAAGACTGATCATTTAGCTGCGACACAGTCATAGATAGCGTTTAAGAGAGCTTTAGTAATCGAATGAGATAAATACACTAGCAGATGGATAATTTATGTGAGAGATCGAAATTACAAATTTCATACTTGAAATAACCATTTTGTATTCTAACGACAACCAATGGATTTTAATCTTCACTCGTATTCAAAATACAATAAAAGTGATGAATTTGAGCAGGATGGTCTCGATGGATTCGATTCGCTTTACTTTGATTCAGCCGAATTACATCGAATTGAATCGTCGAAAATTTTACTGACTTTTCGGTCTCTAATGAACACAGAAGCTCTCCATCAAAGATTAGTTTCTCAAGAAAAAAAAGTCGTTTTTCAGATCATTTGAGATCGTCGCTCTACTTTGAAACATTGTTTAGGCTTCATCTAAAATTTAAATGTATCGAGTTCTATATTTTCTATAACAATTAATAGCGATGAATAGTACAACTACAAGTACGATTCCAATTACAACTACAACTGCTACTCAACAAATATGTAAGCATTAGATTGACGTTTTATGATCTTGCTAAATACTGTTTTTTTTAATCAAATACATATAGTTGTTTTGTATTCGATATTACTCTGCAGCTAGCTAAAGGTTATATTGATAAGATAAATGATCTTATACCATGAGTTATTCAATGTTTACTATAAGTAAAAACCAAATAATAGTAATCTCCATGTTGGCTAGTTTTCATCACTATCGAAGTGTAATTCGAATTGTTGACAGCTATAAAACGAAATTCATTCTTCCTCTTCATTTTAGAAGAATGCACTTTATTCTGAACGTCTGTTCGTTCTCATCTTCATTTGAATTCAGATAATCTTGAAGTCAGATATCTCAATTCTGTCTGACACCTTTTCGGAAGCATTTCATTCATAATTTTGGCTATCTTGAGATCACATAGAGCTTTTTTTTCTAGTTTTTGGCAAAGAATAAAAATGTCATTGCCGAGTAATATAAAATTAATCAACAGCACAATACGTTGATTATTTAGGAAAACCATTAAAATAGATCCACGAAAAATTCTGATTGTTATATGTCCTTCGTTCATGTCACTTACTAGATATAAATCAATTAAGGCATGTGGATGTAAGTATGAGGATGAGAAATTAGAATATCCACACCCACATCTACATCCTTAGATTCATTTTTTTAAGGAAAATTCACACCCCATCCTCAAGTGAAGTAATTTGAGAATCAATGCAGCAGTTAATTGACGGAAAGTGTGTATGTACCAAAGTTATTGACACAGAACTAAGGAGAGAGTGACGAAACTGATCTCGAGAAAAAATCATATAACCACATACATAAAGAATAAAATATGTTCGATCTCTCGGTATTTCGTCAAAGTTTCACTATATTCTTTAGATTTGAATACTTTAAAAATTGATGAAAATCGCTTTTTTAATTTGGAAAATTTTTCGAAATATCTGCTGCAATTGTTTATACCAACGTATCAGAAATGGGACTACAACATTCTATATCATTTAGAATTCTATGCATAATTTCTCTTCACAAGTCATCCATAAATAATGCTCGGAAATTGGATATAAGCTGCGTCCAAAAATTGACTTTTTTGAAAACCCTGATTCAATAGAATTGTGGAATAATCCATCCGCTTCTTTTCATCTGCTGAAGTGACACAAAAAAATTAATGCACATGCCGTAAAGCACGCAATCACTAATGAACTCGACCCATACATTAATTAGTCTTGTTTTTTCCAAGGATTCATCGATGAGTCTTTTTGTTAAGATTTCTCCCAAGCGAAAAGAATGCTAGCTTGAAATCTAACTAAGAAATTATTCTTTTCCGAATTCAAGAGGAAAGTGGATGGGTTTTTCGTTGACACATACGTTGGCACTCTTCCTCTCTCTCTCGCATTCTTTCTTATTGATCATTCCAATTTTTTAAAATTCGATTAAAAAATGATGAAATCATCGAATGAGAGAAAGAGAGAGATTATCTAGATGATATTCTTATTAGTTTGTTGAATGGATAGTTCCTGCGGATAGGATACAGAAACAAAGATATGTGTGCTGACAATGAGATAAATGAAGGAATGGACGAACAACAAAATAAAATAAAACAATATTTCTAAATTCGAATAACCATCATCTATTCTCATTTTCATATTCCAAGGACTCCAATTAGTCCATGTATTTCGATTCCATAGAATTCAGCAACATCATGTCTCACTCTTACTCATCCGTCCCTTCAGATGAAAACACCCTTTTCTAAAACTTTGTTCTCTCTCTCTCTCTTCTCTATACCTTCTGTCTCTTATTGTGACACGTATTTTTCGCTATTTTAAGTTCCACTACGAGCACCTGCTATTGACATTCATCCGAATGCAAAATGGGCTCAGAATGGTCTCACTGTGGCTGGAGGAAATGGAGATGGTAATGGAACAAATCAAGTCTCTAGACCGCGGGGTGTGTATGTCGATGATGATCAAACTATTTATGTCGCTGAGTACTCTAATCACCGTATTGTGGAATGGAAATATGGTGCAACGAGTGGCCAAGTAGTTGCCGGTGGAAATGGACCGGGAGGAATTGCTAATCGGCTATACAACCCAGAAGATGTGATTGTCGATAAAGAGAGAGATAGTCTCATCATCTGCGATGGGTGGAATAGAAGAGTTGTTCGATGGCCTCGTCGAAATGGTACTAGTGGAGAAACAATGATCTCGAATATCGTTTGCATCGGTTTGACAATGGACGAGAATGGGTCTCTTTATGTCGCTGGCGAGGGAGTAAGACGATACCGAATTGGTGATACTAAAGGAACAGTGGTTGCAGGTATTAATGGATATGGACATGGTCTCGATCAACTCGCTGGCCCCAGCTATGTATTTGTCGATCGAGATCATTCAGTGTATGTGTCTGATTGGGTAAATAATCGTGTGATGAAATGGGAAGAGAATGCAAAAGAAGGTATTGTTGTAGCCGGTGGTCAAGGGAAAGGCGCGAGTCTTACACAATTGGATCGTCCTCAAGGAGTGGTTGTCGATCAATTGGGCACTGTCTATGTGACTGATCAAAACAATAATCGAATAATGCGTTGGCCAAAAGGAGCCACACAGGGAAGTATCATTATTGGTGAAAATGGTCGAGGA